TTGTAATTTATTATAATAAATATATTATAATATATATATATATATATATATATATATATATATATATATATATATAATCGCATTAAACGTTATTTTTTAGTGGATACTCATAATTAAGTAGACATTCCGTCTATTTATTATGTTTAATTATTTTCGTCTAACGGCCAGGATATTTGAGAAATCTTATTAAAGAATAATATGTGATATATATATATATAAATTTAGGTAGATGTAGAAACTTGTGTAAAATTATCTCTGTCATTTAACATCAAACACTGTTTTATTACCACCAGCATTCGCATTGCGCTATTATCTATCTATCTATCTATATATATATATATATATATATATATATATATATATATATATATATATATATTAGGGGTATTTAATAGCTATCGTTTTTTGTACAAGTTTCATTAAAAACAACAAACCTGATACTGCGGTTGAGGTTTTATTTAATTTTTCTTGTCTTCAAATAATTTTTTTCTTTTCTGGTCAATTTTCCGAATGTTCTGTATATTCAGGCGCTTTTGACTTTTCTTTTATTCTGACATATATATATATATATATATATATATATATATATATATCTATCTATATATATATATATATATATATATATATATTTATATTTATATATATATACATATATGCGCTTTGGCACAAATAGAGGACCGGATTCGTAATGTCGGCAGGTCAATTTTAATAAGGATAACACCGACTCGATCCCTGCAAAATCAAACACACAGTGTCCCTTACACGCATGCGTGCACACACGCACACGCGCACACACACACACGAGTACATATATAATTACAAATATGTTTGCGTGCGCATGCATGTGCGTGTATATTTATATACATAGACACACACACACACACACACACACACACACATATATATATATATATATATATGTCATATACATATTTATATATCAATAAAAGCTCGGTCATTCGAAAGATAGATGTGCATACTTTATTTTTATATATATACACGTGTGCGTATATATATGTGTATATTGCATGCTTGTGTGTGTGAGTGTGTACATTACTTTCATTTGTATAGGCAATGAGAAAGTGGAAAGAAATCAATATAACGGGTTTCATCCCCTCAAAGAACTTCCTCAGGACTCAAATAATGTTTTTACTGGTGATTATTATGTCGGCATAGTGTATGATTGGAGAGATATGAACGTAAACTTCGATTATAATTGTGAATTTTTGCGTTTCATTTATACATACACACACACACACACACACATACACATACACACACACACACATACACAATGTGTGTAAGGCAAAATGGAAAAAGTTTATTTGAGACCTGTTTCATCCGTTAGAAGTTCATCTGACTAAGATTAAATGTGTCTCATATAATCTTTTTTCCATTTTGTCTTTAGAACTTCCTCTAATACTCTTCTTGACATATAAATATATATACCGTTATCTCATATATATATATATATATATATATATATATATATATATATATACGGGGTGTGATAGGTAAATTGTCGGCATTTTATAATTTTAATTTCGCGCTTGTTTTTCATTTTGTCGACTGCACAGTATAGTCGGGTCATGGCCTCAGACTCAACACGGAGGCCTCCATCAAGTGCCTTGAGGAAGTAGTGCTGATGGAAGACCCTATGTCTGGCAACAGGATTCTGCACCATGCCACACAAACCGGAGAACCCAGTCATGGCTCTCAGACAATTTCTGTGACCACATCACCTATTACATCTGGCCACTTAACTCCCCAGACTGCAAACCCCCCTTGATTATTATGTGTGGGGCGCAGTTGAGCGAGAGACCAACAAAACTCCTCGTAACACCAAAGATGAACTGAAGGTAAGGATTATGGCAGCATTCACCAACTTAAACAAGGAGACCGCCCAGAAGTGTTGCAGGAGATACCGAGGTCGTCTGGGGGTTGTGGTTGAAGAAAATGTTGATTTTATTAAATAAATATAAATTTTAGTATTCCAAGATATTTTTGTGTTATTTTCGAAATATATCTATTGAAATAAGATGTCAATTTTATTTTCATTTTTGCGTAATTTAGACGACAAATTATCCATCGCACCCTGTATATATGTATATATGAAACTTAAGTGTACAGACTCATATTTGCATTGTTTATAGCTCTCTCAGTATATATATATATATATATATATATATATATATAGAGAGAGAGAGAGAGATAGATAGATAGATAGATAGATAGATAGATAGATAGAAACACTGTGGAGCATAAAATCAACACTACATAATTTCTATGCACACTGCTATTATTTATAAACATTTCTTTCTCGATATTGACAGGAGAGCAAGAATTTTCTTCAAAGAGCATGCCGGTAGAAGAAATTAACACTGCGTAAATAAAAATGGGCCGTTCCACTCAAATACAATTATCCACTAGAACTAATGTTTGAAGAAATTATTTTGTTTTTAGTAAATCCAGGTTTATATCATTAACTTTACGAATCTACTTTTTGTATGAATGATTCATGTAATATAAATTGAACTGCCCCATATATTTGATTTAAAAGAACTGATCCGACGTTCAAATTTTCGGGATAACAGCTAAGACATTACTCTATTTATTGAACAATTTAGTTCATGCCACATTGACTGAAAAAAACTCCTACAACAAAAGAATTCTCAAATTACCATATTAGTAAAAAAAACGCACTCTCTTAAATTTTCAAAAAAATAAATTCAACCTTAGCGTTGTGACTGCACGCTCCAAAAGTTTTTATCCGTTAACAATAACACATTTCTAAAAAAAACATATTTCGATTCGCATTTAATCTTTCGTCTCCAATGCTACCTGGATTTACTAAAAACAAAATAATTTCCGTGCCTGAGGATGACTGTATGCACAGTTGAAAGTACTAGCAGATTAAAAAAAGACCTTATACAACTTGTAGTTATTAAAAACAAGGATCATAACATTCATCGAGTGGTTCGTAGATTAATACAACTATAAAATTTTGTTTGCAAAGTGTTTTCGCCATTTTATATCATTAACTTTACTAATCTACTTTTTGTATGAATGATTCACTGTAATATAAATTGAACTGCACCACATATTTGAAAAAGGTGAAATATATGTGTATATATATATATAAATATATATATATATATATATATATATATTTGTATACATATATAGAGAGAGAGATGATATATATATATATATGATATATATATAGAGAGAGATAGATATTATATATATATATATATATATATATATATATATATACACTTTTTCTTTAAGTTTTTACTCCAGTGCGCAGGCAGGTAGACGGAATAAACATGGTTTAAAAAGCGAAGCGTCTATTCAAACCGGGTATCCATGACAAAAATAACGTTTGAAGTAATAAAAATATGTTCGATTAAAAAAATACAATCCATTAACTCTTTAGGAATACATACATGTATATCTATCTATCTATCTATATATATATATATATATATATATATATATATATAGATAGATAGATAGATAGATATGTATGTATGTATGTATGTATGTAAGTATGTATGTATGTCAATGTGTGTGTGTGTGTGTGTGTTTCTGTGAAAATACCGTAGGAAGAGAAGCAGCAGAGCAAACGATCTTTCTTCTTTTCCTGTTTTCGTTCAAAATAATTTCGTATTTAAAGGTAAATCGAATGAGATTTATTATTTGTTTGAAATATTCACTTTTCTCGGCTTTTAATTCTTTTCCTTTCATATTTCTTTTATTATTGCATTCGTTTACTCTGTTTTCTTCCTGTTTTATTTACCTTACGCCCTCCTCTCTCTCTCTCTCTCTCTCTCTTTCTTTCTCTGTATCATTCTCCGTTTCTCTCTCACACTCTCTCTTTTTTTTTTTTTAATCGTATATTTTCTTATCATTTTTACATTTCTCTCTAAACTCAAGAAATCAGATATCCGAATAATAATACACACGGCCTTTAATACTACGATTTCATCTGGATCATTCATTTAATTGCAGTTTGTCTCCCTTCTCCTCACCCCTCCGAGATGGATCTGTGACACTGTTTCATCTAAGAGGGGCTGCGAAGTGGATGAGGTGGGGGTGCATCATAACGGCGAAATACGCTCTTTTTTTTTTCTCTCGCACAGTCTAAACACCATTAATATTAGCTTCTATAAATCATTCAGCTTATTGAGTAAAGGCCTGGGGATATTTTCGCGCGAAATTATGGGAGCGAAGTAAGGCAAGAGGTCGTTTTTTTTTCTTTCTCTTTTCCAAATTGTCCAGTGTTGAGTAAAAAAAAAAAAAAAAAAGAAAAGAAAAAGAAGAACGAACGGAAAAAAAAGCAAACAAATCCAATCGTTTTTACTTCGTCCTTACGAATGCTTTTCGCAAATAATATTCATTCAGTCGCTCGCTCTTACTAGGAGGGAACGCGCTGACACTCGAAACCTCCGAAGTGGGGGTGGTGTATCACTTTACACACACACACACACGCGCGTGCGCGCAGGCACACACACACACACACACACACACACACACACACACACACACACACACACACAGGGAGACCTAATAAGCAAGATGAGTTTTGAATAAGCGAAACAAACTATCCACATAAACTCGTAAGGCTTTCCTTACGAACAATAATAAAGTCAATCACAACCCCCCCGTTCTATGTTTTCTTTCTTTTCATCTTTTTTCTTTTCCTTTCTTTCTATCTTTTTCTTTCTTTTTTCTTTTCCTTTTTTATCTTTTTCTTTCTCCCTTTTCATCTTTTTCTTTCGTTCTTTTTCTTTCTTTTTATCTTTTTCTTTCTTTCTATCTTTGTCTTTCTTCCTTTTTATCTTTTACTTTCTATCTTTTTCTTTCTTTCTTTCTTTCTTTCTTTCTTTCTTTCTTTCTTTTACATACTCTTTTCCCCTTTCCTTCACCTTTTTACTCTTATTTATATCTCTATTTTTCTTCCATCGTTTCTTCCTTTTTTCTTTCTTTTAAAGACAGTTTTTTTTCTCTTTCTTTCACATTTCTTCCTCACTCACATTTACTCTTTTTTTATTTAAGATTTTCTTTTTTTTATTTACTTATTTCTCTTTCATTTGACTTTAGGTTCTTCTTTTTTCGTTTTTTTTATTTTATGTTTTACTTTGTCTTACTTTTATATATCTTGTTTCAGTTTTTGCGCCAATAACTTGTATCTGCTTGTTTTTGAGAGCCAGAAGGCAGAAATATTTATAAAAAAAAGTTATTTACACTCGAACTAACATCCTCATCTTTGTTGTCATTATCACGATGTTATATGCGGGAAATTCTCAATCTAAAATCTGGTGCAAGACAATGTCAAAATAATGTGTTAAAAATCAAAATGAAATAAATGTATGCAGTAGGATGATATATTATCAAAAAATGTTCTTTTTATGAGCGAATCGGATAAAAATATAGATTCAAGCCTGTTTAAAACATTAGAATTATCACTCTCTTCCCTTTTATCGCTCACCCCATATATATATATATATATATATATATATATATATATATATATATAAAAATAATGTATAAACATAAAAATGCCTTAATATATATATATATATATATATATATATGTAGTAATAATACAATATGGTAATCCGTTTGGTATTTCCAGGTGAATATAGATCCAGAGAGATCTATGCCAAAAGACAGAACAAAATTATTATTAAAGAATAACAAACATTTTAGAGATATAAATGACGCATAAAAAAACAATGTAATCGTTTTCACTCCAGGTGATTTTTTTTATTTTTTACCCAGGTGATTTTGTTTGTAGGCCTTGAAGATTGAGGGCTGCTTTTTTTTTAGAACTCTCATGAAATAAAAATTACCTATGGTTTAGTATTTGATATCTTGAAAATCTCGAAAATGTGGCATATGGGAACATCAACAATCCCTGTTGTAGTTGGAGCCTTAGGACTGGTTGGAAAAGATTGCAGTAGACTAATTGAAGGGATTCATGGAAGTCCATGCCTCAAGGAGACACAAAAAATTGTTCTGACAAGTACAGCCCACACTTTACGAAGGGCTTTATCAATGTAATTTTTTTTTTTTTTTTTTGTCAGTGGAAAGTGTCATGATGCCATTTCTAACCTTAGGTCCCTGGTCGGAAAGAAATGTGTAAACGCCAGAAATCAAAGAAAATAAAAATAATAATAATAATATATATTATTATTATAATTAATTATGAAGCCATGCACACACGCACAAACACACACACGCACACATATATACATATATATTTATTTATGTATATATATGTATATAAAATATTAATAGATTTATTTTAATGCGCCATTTATATTTCTTCAGAAGTTAATATGGTGGATTTTCCTTGTTTGCTGTGATGCTCCACGACGCAGAGTAAAACGATGCTTTTCTTTATATAGGGGGACGCAGGTTCGATCCCAACACATTTCCATCATTAAGATTTTTCGAATGCGCAGGTAGAAGTAATGTACACTGTTGACTTAGTAAAATTTGGGGCGTCTACTTCAAATACGAAGTGACTACTAAATAAAGTGAAGTTATATATATATATATATATATATATATATATACATACACACACGCACAACACACAAATATATATATATAGTTCTTTTATATTACATCGAGCAATATTTTATTAACACCACCACTCAATGTCTTTATATATATATATATATATATATATATATATATATATATATATATATATATATAAATATATAGAAAATCGGAAAGATCTCGTTAGGTAAATGATCCAATGTTCTTTAGTATTTTTGTTATTATTTTTAAAAAATAGTGCTCGATACAAAAGTAGAGCATAAATATAATTATTTATTTAAAATATGATTCCAAATGGCGACATAAAAGTCTCATGTTTCAAAACAAGAGCCGAAAACTTCAATATAATTATTTGAATTAAATTGAATTAAAGTACCAAGCTCTGTTCCATCTTCAAGCGAAATTTTTTTTGAGAAGCTTCAAAAAAATTCGCTTGAGGATGGAACAGAGCTTGGTAGTTTAATTCAATTTAATTCAAATAATTATATTGAAGTTTTTGGCTCTTGTTTTGAAACTTGAGAACTCTTATGTAGCGTTGGAATCATATTTTTAAATAAATAATATATATATATATATATATATATATATATATATATATATATATATATATATGATAGATAAAAGGTTAATGGTTAGGGTAGAATCAAAAGTGTGCAATACACGTGTGAAAAAATAAAATTAAATAAAAACAAAAAATTACATATAAAGCTTTTAACTTTAAAATTAAGAGATCAGTTGAATCTGCTGCCTTGGTTTCAACCTTTCGGTATCCTCAGGCGATTTTTATCAATTGACCCCCCCCTTTGAGTCGTGCTATCGGTGACGGGTAACTTGTATTAATAACTCTGTTGCATTACATCGATCACTATTTTATAAATACCAGCACTATATGTGCGATATATTTTATAAATACACACACACACACACACACACGCGCATACACACGCACACACACACACATATATATATAATCGTTCAATTACTTAACATTGTTTTAATATCTAGGTAATTTATATATCATATTCTCCCCAACAAACACACACATATATTGGTCTGTGTGCCCTTGAATGTGTAATTGATATCGCGGATTTATATATTAATGTAACAGAGTTCTCTTTTTTCTTACCTTTTAACCATTTCACTCCAAGCAAGGCAATAAAGCCACTAAGACACAAGTGAGAGTAATGAATATTAGAGAATATGAGAAAAATACTATTAAGGAGAAATACAATAAAAGAACAAGAATTAAGAAGACAGTAGATAACGATTGACATTGCATTTACATTTTTGAAGATCAGTGTGGACTGGGAAGCAGAAGAAAGTTCCACAAGCAAAAAATGCGATAGAAAAACTGTTAGCGTAGTATTCATGGTTACATCTCGCCATTTCAACTGTAAAATTATGACCTTGTCGCCAAACTAGTATTAGACTTAAAATCATAAAGTCTAGGTACCATAGAGGAAAGTTCATCAGAATAATTACAATGAAATTATTTATAGAAAAGGCACAGGGAAGCAACATTATGGTGATGGGAAAGTGACTGAAGGACCAATAACACTGCAAATTCTTCTTTGGAATTTATCAATTATCTCTAAATATATAACAGGCCAGACGTGGCAGCCATATTCAAAGCAAGGAAACTTATAAATTTTAAACATATAAGGGAGATACTGGCGTGTAAAACTTGTCTAGCACAACTTGTCTCGTACCAACTTTTCTTGCAGGAGACAACAATTTCAGAAAATACTAGATGCATTTTCAAATTTACAAAGTCCCTGTTAAACAAAGGGGAACTATTACAATAATAACGTTATATATATATATATATATATATATATATATATATATATATATATATATATTATAAATTAATTGATTTAAATTTTTTTCCGCTACACAGTTCTAACAGTTAGAACTTTGTAGCGGAAAAAAAAACATATTTTAAATCAGTTAATTTATAATATTAATGCTCTGTAAATTTACATTGAGCACTATTTTGTAAAAATAAAAATATCTATAAGAACACCAGATTATATATCTTACTGTTATTTCTTTTATATATATATATATATATATATATATATATATATATATATATGTGTGTGTGTGTGTGTGTGTGTGTGTGTGTATATAAATATAAATAAATATCTATATATATATATATATATATATATATATATATATATATATAATTATATAATATATATTATATACGCGGTACTTATTAGAAAGCGCTCAATATCAGAGATAGAGTAACATATTTGGTTGGATAGATGAGTTTGTGACCCTGGGTTTCACGCTTTAGCGATCGTCAGACAAACAAACCGTTTGTTTGTCTGACGATCGCTAAAGCGTGAAAACTCAGGGTCACAAACTCACATCTATCCAACCATATATATATATATATATATATATATATATATATATATATATATATATCTTTCTAGCTAGCTAGCTATCCGGCTCCCTGCTTTCCAGTTAACTTTAATCTTCAAAAATTTAAATGCAATGTTAATCACTATCTACTGTCCCGATTACACTTCCTTTGTTCCTTAGTAATGTTTCTGTCTTAGTGGCTTTACTGCCTTGCTTGGGGTGAACTTGCTTTAAAAAAATTAAAAAAGTCTCAGTTTTTTCGTATCTATCTGGTTTTCTGCTTATACAAAATCCTTGTTATTCCTGTTAGCCGTTTTTAATTTTCAGTTCGATTTCATCCATCATAAATATTAAGTGTTATATTGACCTGGTCACACTCGAACATCCTTGCCAAACTTTGCGTACTTGAATGCACATATGTTACAGAAAATGTTAAGATCAACCTTTGGAAGGGAAAAGGAAAAGTAAGTGTTGATTAGTTTGGGTTGCAAGGTCTGCTTTTTTTTTTAAATCCACAAATACTTAATAAGTCGTTTAATTAATTAATACTGTACCAAAAACCCTGCACTGGAAAGTACATTAATTTATAACTTATTATAAATTCTTAAATTAAAGATTAAATCTTTAATAAATTCGCTACTATTGCTATTTGTTCTAAGATTGAACCTCACGTCAGACAAATTTCTTTTACTGTGGCGAAAATTTAATCAGATCATTTTCTTCTAATTTATTCTATGCGTTTTTTTTACAAATCAATCCATGAAACAGCTAAAAAAATTAGACAAAAATCCTGTAATTTAAGCCAAAAAAATTTTGATCAAAACGTTTTACTGATTGACTTAGATGTTCTTTTCTTTTACGGCTTATCAACCTTTTGCATGTTAAATTAAAACGGGTACATATTTTTGGATTGTCATAATTTTTTTTTTTTTGAGATAACAAAGATTTTCCGATATGGGTTAAATAGTATGAGTTAGGGAGAATAGATGGATTCATGCCTTCCTCAACTGAATAAACCTGACCGGAATTCAAAGACTTTCTCAAGTGA